TCAAGGAAGAAAACTAACAGTATTGGCTGCAAAAGATAAAATTTTTCAAGTAACGTTAAAAGCTTGAGAAATCTGTATCTCCAAATGTGAGTTTGGTAATTTYATRATACTARASWYTWTTTTGTAARATTTAGTAGTGATATTAACAAACGTGATTTTTCTTATGTTATGCAATAAAATGTTTTAACATTTAAAATAAGCATAACACAGAGAACAAGGATTTTCCAAATAGCAAATGTGATATTTTAAAACTATGGGAAAAAGATCCATTCAAAGTGAACAGATTTTAACAGAGAAAGTAATGTTCAAATTCCATATTAAACTACAATTTTAGAAAGCACCCTTCAGCGAGTTTTGATGTAGTACCCCCCAAAAAAAGAATATCCACAATTTTCTGAAACATCTATTAAAATACTCTCCCCCTTTCCAACTACATACCTGTGCAAGCCTAGATTTTCCTCATATGYTTTAATTAAAACATCACAACAGACAGTGCAGAAACATATGAAAATAAGCTGTCCTATATTAAGGTAGACATTAAAGAGATTTGAACAAATGTAAAACAATGCTAGTCTCCTGACTAAGCTTTTTCTTGTTTGGGGAAATATAATTAATTTTCATAACATGTACATTAGTTAGCTTGGACTTCATACTAAAACACCATAAATTATGTGGCTTAAACAACCCCTTTAGGGGTTGGTCTTTTTTGAAGGCAGTATCTTGCAGCTATGTAGTTTTATGGTACAGTCCTGCAGAATCCAAGCAGTCTAACATCGTCCTTCATTTGGTTTTGTTTTGTCTCCATTAGTACAAACTGTCAATGCCTTTCTGGAATAAATCCACTTCTATTCCTGAATTCTGCTGATAGTTGATCAAGTCAAGTCCATGAGTTGGACATATTATCTCAAAAGGCTGTTCAGTCACGTCCTTGGAGTTCTTTTCAGAATAAGTTTTCTCATTTTTGACAATATAGATAGGCTGAGAGTTTTCCAAATCTTCAAGTTCTGCTTCATTTTTTGCTTAGGAATTCCTTCTTGAATTCATCTCTCCTCTTTTACATTTCACTATAAAGCAGGAGRAAATGAGCTACTCCATCAATACGTTGTTTAGAAATATTCTCAGCTAAATATCCAATTTCACAGTGTCAAATTTTACCTTTCATAAAATGCTAAACACAGTTCAGTCAATTTCTTTTCTACTCTATAACAAGAATCACTTTTCTTCTGGTTTCTAATAACATGCTCCTCAATTTCTTCTAAGATATCACCAGAATTGCCCTGAATGTCCATATTTCTGGACACTCACCTAAAAACCCTTCTAGCCTCTGCCCATTACCCAGTTCCAAAGTCACTTATACATATTGATGTATTTGTTACAGTGGTACCATACTTCTTAGTACCAAAATATCAATTCAATTCAGGATGCCATAACAAAATATCATATACTAGGTAGCTTAAACAACAGAAATTGATTTTCTCATAATCTGGAGATGGAAGTCCAAGACCAAGGTGCTAGCATGGTTGGATTCTGGTGATGATTCTCTTCCTAGCTTGCAGACAGTAGCACTCTCTTGTGTGGTGGACACCATCCTATCTTGTAAGGCTGACAATCTTATCAGATTAAGAACCCACCCTTATGACCTTATTTAATCTTAATTACTTCCTAAAAGTCCTATCTCCAAATACTATTACATTGGAAGTTGTAGTTTCAACATATGAATTTTGAGAACACAATGCAGTCTCTAGAAATACGTAATGGCTTTATTGTCACATTTTAAAATTAATAATTTTTGAAATTTATGCTTAATTTCTAGTCTGACAATAATGATGAATACAATAAAAAAGTACAAGCTACTTAAGATGTTCAGTAATTTGTGTTTAAATTCCTAAATCCAATAAGTTTGAGAACCATTTTTTAATACAGTAAAGGGAGAGAAGGTAATTAGTTTCATTTTGAACAGAGTAAGTTCAGGGTGCTTAGGATCATCAAAAGTGGAGATGTCTAGCAAGAGTCAGAAATGTGGCTCTGGAACTTAAAACTTGTGAGTAGACATTTAAAATTGCTTCTCCCAGTATATATGTCTATGGAAGATAATAATAGTATAGAATGAAATGAAGTTATCCTGAGAGTCTTTGACTCATTTTTGGAGGTCCAATTCAAGCCTGTTCTATGTAAAACACTTTGTGGCCCTAAAACTAACTGAACACTAACTGACTACTTTTTTCTGTCACTACAGTATTATATACATACCTGATAAAAGCAGCTAACCATAATCTTTTGCTGTCAACTATTTGTAAGTCTATATCTCCTACCAACTTGGAATGTTTTTAAGGTTATCTTCATTATCATTTTGAATGATTTGGTCAGTCTTACAATAAAGAATAAAATCACATTGTGTATTATTGTTATAATTATTCATATACTGAACTTTGAGCTTTTTTGGGACAGATATATATATATATATATATATATATCATATTCATTTTAATCTACACTGCTCTTAGGACTATTTTATGAAAGGAGAGAAAAGAGACAGTTAAGAAAATCATCATTATTCCTTCCTGAACTCCCAAATGGCTACCAACCCCACCTCTACTCATCTTGGTCTTCACCTGACCAAATTTTAAAAAGTGCCAGGATCTGTACTCGGTATTTTCTACTAAACTGACATAACTAGTGACTGGGTTTATTGAACAAATGAGACATTATAGGAATTTTAGAGAATTCATTCATTTCTTAATATTATCATTTTTACTATACCAAATGAGAATAATCCAAAAACATCATTTTTATTTGACTTTGAAAACTTTACTTTCCTAATTACATATCATTAATAATACTTGATTTCTATTACTAGACACATAGAGAGGAACTATCCACAATTCAAGTATGACAATGAACTATTCAAACATTAGGAACTAAACTTTGATGCCTCTGTAAGAAAACTGAAGAGAAAAAATATTTTTCCCATTTTGCTCTCTTGGTAGAGTTGGTAAATTCCTAGATTTCTCATTTGGCAAATAATAATATCTCCTGATTATTTGCTGTGTATATACACACCAAGAAAAAGATTATAATTTCTAGTCTCCCTNAGAAGGTAATTAGTTTCATTTTGAACAGAGTAAGTTCAGGGTGCTTAGGATCATCAAAAGTGGAGATGTCTAGCAAGAGTCAGAAATGTGGCTCTGGAACTTAAAACTTGTGAGTAGACATTTAAAATTGCTTCTCCCAGTATATATGTCTATGGAAGATAATAATAGTATAGAATGACATGAAGTTACCCTGAGAGACTTTGACTCATTTTTGAGGTCCAATTCAAACCTGTTCTCTGTGAAACATTTTGTGTTGCTAAAACTAACTGAACACTAACTGACTACTTTTTTCTGTCACTACAGTATTATATACATACCTGATAAAAGCAGCTAACCATAATCTTTTGCTGTCAACTATTTGTAAGTCTATATCTCCTACCAACTTGGAATGTTTTTAAGGTTATCTTCATTATCATTTTGAATGATTTGGTCAGTCTTACAATAAAGAATAAAATCACATTGTGTATTATTGTTATAATTATTCATATACTGAACTTTGAGCTTTTTTGGGACAGATATATATATATATATATATATATATCATATTCATTTTAATCTACACTGCTCTTAGGACTATTTTATGAAAGGAGAGAAAAGAGACAGTTAAGAAAATCATCATTATTCCTTCCTGAACTCCCAAATGGCTACCAACCCCACCTCTACTCATCTTGGTCTTCACCTGACCAAATTTTAAAAAGTGCCAGGATCTGTACTCGGTATTTTCTACTAAACTGACATAACTAGTGACTGGGTTTATTGAACAAATGAGACATTATAGGAATTTTAGAGAATTCATTCATTTCTTAATATTATCATTTTTACTATACCAAATGAGAATAATCCAAAAACATCATTTTTATTTGACTTTGAAAACTTTACTTTCCTAATTACATATCATTAATAATACTTGATTTCTATTACTAGACACATAGAGAGGAACTATCCACAATTCAAGTATGACAATGAACTATTCAAACATTAGGAACTAAACTTTGATGCCTCTGTAAGAAAACTGAAGAGAAAAAATATTTTTCCCATTTTGCTCTCTTGGTAGAGTTGGTAAATTCCTAGATTTCTCATTTGGCAAATAATAATATCTCCTGATTATTTGCTGTGTATATACACACCAAGAAAAAGATTATAATTTCTAGTCTCCCTTATGACTAGTGGTGGCCATTTAACAAAGGTCTGATGAGTAGAAAGTAAGTGGAAATAATATATAATGCTTCTGGGAAGTATCTTTGCCTGCCATGAGATAGATGGGGGAAATAGTGTCCATCTCCTGGCCTTTTCTCCTTCCTGCTGAATGCTTCATGGATATGATGACTAAAGCCWGAGAAAGTACATTGGACCACAAAGTAAAAACTGCATTTGAAGATGGCAGACTAACAAAATTGAAGGGATCTGATTTCTGATGATCACTGCTCTCCCCACTAGCCATGGATCACCTTTATTTACATGAAAGATAAAGTTCTCTTTATTTTAGTCTGTTTGGTTGGCTGTAACAAAATACCATAAACTATATAGCTTATAAACAACAGAAATTCATGTCTCACATTTTTGGAGGTTGGGAAATTCATGATCTAGGTGCTGGCAAACTTAGTAGCATCTAGTGAGGATTCACCTTCTGGTTACGCTTTGTCCTCACAAGGTGGTAAGGGCAAATGGCTCTCTACAGTCTCCTTCATAATACCATTCTTGAGGATCCCACCCTCAAGAATGGTATTATGATATGATAAACTCTCAAAGGTCCAATCTCCTAACATTATCACATTGATGATTAGGTTTCAACATATGAATTTACCAGAGTCATACAAACATTCTCAGCACATGGTTGTTTTTCTATCTCCCAAAGCCAAACTCAGTCTTAACTATTCAGCTGTGAAAACATATTAAAAAAGTAGTTACCCGATAAATTCTGTCTGCTTGTTTCACTTTGGCTGTTGCTTGAAGAAGGACCTGACTCTGAAATGCTGCTTTCTGTTCCTCCCATCAATGGTCGMAAATGGCTTATAGATACTTGCTCAATAAAAGATGTGCCATGCTTATGGAAGTACCACCATTCAAAACTCTATGACAAATAAAAAACATCTTTTACTTAAAATAGAACTGATCAGCAGATATATAAGCTCAAATTAAAACATTCTCTCAAGATATTCCTGTTCAATTCAACATTTTAAATGCATTTACTCCCTTCTCCCTCAAGAAAACAAACCTAAGATTTCCCCCAAAAGCACATGCCATATGAAAGTAAAATACCATTTTTATATTTTTTAAAACGTTTTTATTTATTTATTTATTTTAAATTAATATATAATAGCAGAATGCATTAGAACTCTTATTACTTGAGCTCCATTTTAACAAGCTTAGGCAAAACATTGCAATAAAGCATTAAAAACAATAAACGTTTAATTTATAAGTTATTTAACTGTTTGCTATGCATGCTGTTGTATGCCTATAATCTCAGTGACTTGGGAGACTGAGGTAGGAGGATGGCAAGCTCAAGGCCAGGCCAGTCTCAGATTCTCAGATATTGAGACCCTCAACAACTTAGCAAGACTCTGTCTCAAAATAAATAAATAAAAGGACTGAGAATGTAGCTCAGCACCCGGGGTTCAGTGCCTAGTACCCAAAAAAAAAAAAAAAAAAAAAAGGAACCAATCAAAAGAAGCTCTCTATGAATTAGTAGACGTTTTCATATCTGGATATTCCAACCTCTACAACTCCCTATGTCTGGTTCTTTGTGTTTCATCTTAAATGACAATTTCTTGGGGAACTTAGTTCCTGATTCCACAAAATAGAAGAATACATAGTTGTGCTTTCACTAGATTTTATTTTCCTTTCATAGTAATCTTTTCACTTACAATAATTGTGCTATTCCTCAAGCCTCTAAGCAGACTTTTTTTTTTTTTTTTTTTTTTTTTGCATACAGCCCTTCCTCACTGCCCTCAGGTCTTTACTAAAACAAAAAACAAGCAAGCAAACAAAAAAAAAAAAAAAAAAAGGGAAAGAAACAAAACAACCATTCAGTGAGGCTTTTCCTTGCTAAGCTAGTTAAAATTTCAACTTTCTTCCCACATTTTATATGCCTTTTTCTGCTTCATTTTTTCCCCTTGCCACTTATCACTGAGAATAAGAACATGCAAGAAAAAAAATTAAGAACATGCTATTTATTTTACTTCTTTATCTTTTATTATATATCCCCATAGTATAATGTGTGCTCTATAAGGACAAGGATTTTTTCTTTGTTTTATGCACTGCTATAAGCCCAGTGCCTTGAAACAGTGACACTCGGTGGGCACTCAATAAAAATTGTCAAATGAATCAATATCAATAATCACCTTCTAGACCAAATTCCAAGAGGCCAGAATCTGTCTGCTTACCATGGTATACTCAACATCTAGAAGGGATGTCTATATATAAAAGGCTCTCTACATATTTGTTACATTAATAAATCAGGGGCTTTCAGTTGAAAAACTAGTTTTCTATGTTTCAACTATAAAGTTACTTCAATATCTTCCTCCTATTTATGGATCATGTCCCTTAAAAAGGTAACCAACAGGGGCTGGGTTGTGGCTCAGTGGTAGAGTGCTTGCCTAATAAGTGTGAGGCACTAGGTTTGAACCCCAGTACCACATAAAATTAAGTAAATAAATAAATAGAGGGATTGTGTTCATCTACAACTAAACATATTTAAAAAAAGAAAGTTAAACAACAGCTAGGTGTGGTGGTACATGCTTATAATTCCATCGATTCAGGAGGATGAGGCAAGAGGATCACAAGTTCAAGGCCAGCCTCAGCAACTTAGCAAGACCCTATCTCAAATAAAAAAGCCTTTAATCCCAGCAGTTCAAGAGGATGAAGCAGGAGGATAGCAAGTTCAAAGCCAGCCTCAGCAACTTAGACCCTAAGCAATTTAGTGAGACCCTGTCCCAAAATAAAAAATAAAAAGGGCTAGAATTGTGGCTCAGGGCTTGACTACTCTGGGTTCAACCCTCAGCAAACCCCCTTCAAAAAAGTTAACAGACTATTCTGCTAAATGTAATGGAGAAACATATTACCTCATTTAAAGAGTAAACAAACACATCTACAAATGCCTAAAAAGATTATAATTTTTTTTAAAATTACTGACCACTGAGTCAGTCTCTCTCTCTCTCTCTCTCTCTCTCTCTCTCTCTCTCACACACACACACACACACACACACACACACAACACACAACAGTGTTCAAATCTCTAGGAATGTTGATTTTTGCCTTAGTAAATAATAAAGCGGCTACTTGTGTGCCTAAACTATGCAGTTGTTTTGTACTATATTGTAGCCCACTGACTAAATGCTACAATATTTAAAGGAAAGTGCTAGAAAATCAAATTGCTCCTTTTTTTCTATTATGCCACTAATGTTTTATGCTTAACCTAAAATGGCTTCCCTTTCTGCTTACTCTTACTAGTTAACAAGGAGTTAATTCCCACCAAATGTGGTCACTGTTTGGCTTATACCATATATTTTACTAAGATGTGGGATGAAACTTAAAGAAGAACAATCAGAAGAAATTACACAAGCAGAAACTGTTTATGTGACAGAAAAGACAAGATTTATGTTGGATAAATCTTGGATTTAAAAATTGGATAAATGCCATCAAGAACTAAAATCACAAGGGGAAYAAAAATAAACTGTTCTTCACTATAGCATTTTTATGAATAAATATGAATTTGAAGTTTTCTGAAATTTTAGATCAACTTTTTCACACAAATAAACAATGATAATAATAATTGTTAACATTTATCAAAAGTTTTCCATGAGCCAAGCATTTTACCAAGTCCTTTATAATACATTATGTCATTTAATTCTCATAATAACTAATTATAGAAATGAGGACACAAATTCCAAATTCAAACAACTAGCCCTAATTACCACCACTGAGGAGTAAGCAGAAGTGAGTTTCTTATTCAGGTCTGTCTTACTTCAGAGCTTCTAATCATTATATTCAATGGCTTCCCAAATATATTTCAGTGTACATGTAAATGTATGTATATATGTAAATGTATGTGCATATGTAAGTCCAGATAGTAAGAGAAATTATATACACAACAACCTTTGCTAATAATAATAATTTAAAAAACTATCAGTACTGCAAGGGTAATGACATAGTTTAGTCTTTAAAATGTTACTTGAATTTCCTATTTCAAAAAGAGTAACAACAAATTATTTAAATGGTTTTAGACATCATATTTCTATGAATTAGATATATAAGATATCCCCTCTTTTAAATATGAAGGAATGAGAAATTTTACAGTTTGTGTGACTTGCCCAAAGTTATCAGCTAGTTGATACTCAAAATCAGATCCTGTTCCGAAATCAATGCTTTTTCCCCATATCAGCCATTTAAAGACAGTTTATTTCTGATAGGCATGGTGGCACATGCCTGTAATCCAATGACTTASAAGGATCCTAAGTTTGAGGCCAATCTCAGCAATTAGAGTGACCCTGTCTAAAAATAAAAAATAAAAAGAGCTGGGGATATAGCTCAGCCCATAGGTTTGATACTGTCTTAATACCACCAAAAAAGAAAAAATAGCTTATTTTCTTATTTTAGATTTCACATKTATTCTATTAACTAAATATGCTAGAATAAGACTGAATATGCTTTAACTATGAGTGGATCTTATAAACCAATAAATTGTGACTTATATTACCATATATTTTTTCTCCTGAATTCAAATTTTTCTAAACCAAGAGAAAAATTCCTTTTTTGTCTAACATTTACTTTAAAAAAATAGTGTCAGTCCCTATTTTTAAGTCCAATACAAATGATATTATTTCTACTAAAGCTGGAGAGCACCACCTACAGATAAGAAAAAGAATACAAAAATCCATGGGCCACACATGACATAATACTTAAAAGATTTTTATCTGTAGCAGTAGTTTTCCAAAATGTATATTAGAAAACACTAGATTCAGTGGATATTATAAAATTTAAAAATATATTTTTAAATTAAAAAATGATACCTTATTAAAGGAAAAGTTGAATCAAAGTAAAACAGGTTTCTAACTAGGGCACTTCCCAGAATAATAGCCAAAATTCATTAAATACTTATTGAGTCAACTACCATGGTTACAAGTTTTATATATTCATCTCATTTAGTTCTCATAATCCCATGAATACCATTATTTTCCCATTTACAGATAAAAACTATATCTGTAAATGGGAAAATAATGGGGATTGTAAAAACTATAGGCTGAATTCTAGACACATAAATTTTAGTCTACTTAAGTTGYTAATATTAAAATATTGAAAGATTTTATATAAAGTCTGTATATCCAGTTTCTCTTAAAATCATTTATAAAACCGGAAGATGTACTAGTCATAAGTCTACATGACAACAATTATCTTCAGTTCCTTTTAGAAGGAATATGAACTTTGCAAGTTCCTAGTCCTCAAAGTAAATAAGGAATTTCTTACACTCTGCTGATTTCATTCATTTTTTATTACTAATCTGGGTCCTTTAGACATTAAATTTGTAACCCATCCCAACACTTCCTGACTACAGTACAAATGTCTTTAATATGCAATAAATACTGCCAATCTCCAAACCTGTTTGACTAGGTAACTTTAAGTTACTAGGTACCAAACACATTTTTGAAATGCTGATATGTAAGTACTCGCAATTATTATAACCATATAAAAGATCTTTATCTACATATCAAAACATGAATGGAAAAAATAAAAAGTACTTACAAATATTAGTCCTGATATCAAAGAAGATGTCCCTGTAAGTGCCACATAGAATTTGGGTGTCAATGAATTTAAAAATCCTGTCACTGTTAAAAGAAAAAAACACAAAAGTTAAACACACACACACACACACACACACACACACACAAATTTAAGTACTTAAGTTACAAATATGCAATGGAGGGACATATGGAGTACAGATACTCCTGATTTACAATGAGGTTGTGTCCTAATGAACTCACTATAAATTGAAAATATTCTTAAGTCCATAATACATGTGATTTGACTAGTCTTCTAAAGACCATAGCTTAGCAACACAGTACACTATGGAGTATTGGTTGTTTATCCTCTAGACTGATTGCCTTTAATAGGAGAGCAGCTCGCTGTTGGTGCCCAGCATGGAAAAGAGCATACTCTTATCCGAGGAAAAGATCAAAATTCAAAATTTCTACTAAATCCTTATGGGCATCATTGTAAAGTTGAAAAATCCTAAGTCCAACCATCTAAATCAGAAACTGTTTTAATATATAGTATGAAATTCATTTGAAGAAGTTGTAGTTTTTAAAATCACCACTATAAATTCCCATCCTATCACATATTTTAAAAAAATACATTCTCACATATAAAGCTAGGATTTCATACTGTTCATTAGTTAAAAAAGAAAAAAATYAAAATAAGGCTGAGCATGTACAAGGCCCTAGGTACAATCCTTAGTACTAAAAACAGAACAAAACCCAAAATGCTTTTAAGAATGACTCATACTTAGCCAGGCATGGTGACACTTGCCTGTGATCCCAGTGACTCAGGAGGCTAAGAAAGGAGGATCACGAGTTTCAGGTCAAYCTAAGCAACTTAATGATACCATGTCTCAAAATAAATATAATAAAAAGGGTTGGGGATATAGCTCCAACTGTCTAAAATGTTCCTGGGTTAGAGCCCCAATACCAAAAAAGAAAAAAAAAGGATTCAAAGCATATTTTAGCATATTTAATCACTAGTACACATATGAAATCTAAATAAGAAAACAAGCTTTTTTTGGGGGGGAGCAAATTATGAATTGAACCCAGGAGCACTCTACCACTGAATTTTTGTTGTCATTGTTGTTCCGGTTTTTCTTTAACCACTGAGTTTTTGTTTTGTTTCTTAATACTTAAAAGACTTTTAAGCACTTTTTCTTTCTTTTTTTTTTTTTTTTTAATACCAGAGATTGAACTGGTAGGGGCACCCGACTACTGAGCCACATCCCCAGCCCTATGTTGTATTTCATTTAGAGATAGGCTCTCACTGAGTTGCTTAGCGCCTTGCCCTTGTTGAGGCTGGCTTTGAACTCCTAACTCAGCCTCCRGAGCCACTGGGATTACAGGTGTGTGCCATCTGTACTCTGCTTAACCACTGTACTTTTAAGTCATAATTTACACTAGACCTTTTGCAAATCTATAAGAAGATAAACACACACTTTCACAAAGGAAGTTTAAAACCACTCCCTAATTACTTTGGTTAGATATGAACCAGTGTTTCAAATTAGAGGGAAAGATCCAGTGTGTATCTGGTTAAATTAGTTAAATCAGCAAGAAAGGCAAAATAGCTTAGGAAGAGAAGTAACAAACTAAGAGCTCTCTGCACCTGACTTACAGAAGTCCTGATTCAAATTCAATTCAAATAACTGTCTCAAATACTTTGTTTTCTTTTCTTATATATATCTTTTTGTGTTTTAAAATAAAAATCTGTAATAGTGAATTACTCTCATCTAAATGATGTATTTAGTTAATACATAGAAAAATAAAGGATAAACACAATGAAAAACATTTCACTGAGCATACAAACTACCATTAAACACTTGATACACCTRTTACAGATGCCAAATTAGTTCTGTAGCTTGTTTTGTAATCAATTAGATCTGAATTTATATCATACTGATTTTCTAAAATATCCAAAATATTTCAGAACATATCTCACAAAAGAGACATCTGCCTTCTCTCACTATAGAAAAAATTAACCATTATACTGACAAAGTCATAACTTAATAGAATTCTTCCATCTTGTTCTGAGTTTGCTGCTCAGAACATGAATAAAAGAAATGTTGTAATAACATGGTAAGATGCCCTGGGCCCCATCCACTTCGTCCTGTTTACAGTGAAAGAATAGTTATTTGTAGAATCCATGKAGATTAACGCTTCTTACATGTCCTTGTACCTTAGTAGGAAGGAGCCCAGGCACCAAGAACAGTGGAAACAGGCTGCTAAATAACAAGCACAGTACAAATGTTGAAAGAACCAAACAAACCCATACTGTCTGTGGAGCTCACTCTCTTCTTCCTGTACTGATCTGTTTTACTACTCAAAGCCTTTAAGAAAAAAAGACAAAACACTACGAAAACTATTTCTTAACAGATCGACTTTGAAACAAAAGAATGGTAGATTAAGACCGTGGCATTTCCTGAGATCTCTGTATTACAGATATGTATGCCTTTGTTGTCTGGCTGTGGGTCCCTCTTAGCTGGGCAGCTGGAGACTCAAAGGAACGATTTTCAAGGGACTACAAATGGTGACAGTGTATATAAATTCTGTATCCAAGTCTGAGAGTCGTGCTATCTTCTGTCCTACCACCTAAAACCTTACAGYTTGTCAGGTGGTTTTTCCTGGGGTAAACGAGGACAGGAGAGGGCGGATCTTAAGACGCCTAGGGAGGAGTCGGTAGCTGCAACTCAGGTTTGACAATCAGCTGCGGGGTTATGGCCCAGGAGAAACTGAACCCACTGGATCGAGCAACCCAGTCTCCTCCTATCTGCCCTTTGGCGTTGGCCCCAGACACCTCTCCTGGGTCCCCGCCCGTCCCTGGGAGGTCTGGGCCTCTCACCCGCTGCCAAGTTCTCACACAGCCTCAGGGGTACCCTCAGAGCGTATAGCAGCCCCAGCCCCGCCACGAACCACAACGAGGCCCCTGTTCCCGCCAGCCCGGCCCGCAGCCGCTCCCTCCAGCCCAGCGGCGGGCTCAGGCCGGGAGCAGGTGCAGGAGGAAATGCCGCAGCAGTCGCGGCTTCACCCCAGCCGTCCCCGTCCGCCATCTTGCCGCTCCCGCAGGCGCCGGGAGCTGGGAGGGGAGAAGGGCAGGAAACCGAGCGTCGGGAATCCTGGGATAGTGGAGGACCTGAAGTTGGCCTCGGTAGAGGCTGAGTCCTGGGAACGGGACCTAGAAGATCTGGAAGGTGGCGGGCAGGACCCAACACTGGGCCTAACTTTTCCTTGGAGGGAGTTGGGGGGGAAGGGCCAATAGTGGCACCTATTCTGGAGGAACTGAACTAAGATGTCACGCTGGAGTGGTTTTGCTTCCAAACGAGATGAGGGTCACCTTTCACCCTATTCCCGGGGTTGGAAAAGCCACCGGTCTTTTCAAGAGCCGACCAGCTCTTAGCGCTTTGGATTCGGCTGCCATGGAGATCACCGGTACAGAAAAATTTAAAGGAGTCACAAGTGCTCCTTAGTCGGAAGGAGCCCAGGCACCAAGAACAGTGGAAACAGGCTGCCAGCATCCAATAGATGAACGGGGAACGACTATAACTCAGAGAGAAAGATAATAGACTTCAAACCCCTGAAGGCAAAGTCGACTTCCTGGGGCACAGGCGCTCGAGGCTGTCACCCCCCGGCGCGTAGCTGATATGGCGCCCTCTAGCTCGGCGTTTCCGGGCGGGTCCTTCCGACGGCCCCTGCGGTGATTCCATCACTCAGCTTCCTTCCCGGCCTGCCTCGCGCCCGCGGCCGGGCTGGGCCAGAGCAGCCCAAGATGGCCGACTTCGAGGATCGGGTGTCGGATGAGGAGAAGGTAAGGGGTCCGCCTCTCTCTCTTACCTCCTCCCCCGACTGGGAACAGGGGCCCGACCCGGCTGCGGTGGGAAGCCTGGCTGTATCCCCAGGAAAAAGAAGGTTCTTTTCCGGTGCTGGCATGCGCTCTCTGCAGTCGGGACGCTTTCCTGTTAAGGGGCTTTCCTCTGCCCCACGGTGTCCCCAGTTCCCCATTCCTTYACTCTCTTCTCTTCCTCCCGGACCTGGGGCACAGCCCAGTGACCTTCCTGTATGAGAAGAGACTTCCCTTATTGAACTGTGACTGTGGACTCTTTTCTGTAATTTTGAGAGTGGGCGATGGTGATGTCGCGATGTATTAAGCAGCAGTTATTTTACCGCCTCAGGCTGTCGGGGCTCACCCCATCCCCCCATTTTTTGATGTGTTTGGGGCTAGTTTAGGGCGAGTCACTTCCTGGTCAGGGTGGACTCTTAACTTCCCTTTTGCTCCTCCTTCCTCAGGAAGTGATTTTGCTGTCATGACTTCTCTACTGGGAGAGGTCCCCAAGTATTGTCCCTCTCACTACACATGCACTTATTTTCTCCTGTACTGTCGGCTGAACGAATTACCTACAATAAATGTGTAAGCCTCCGGGCATTGACTTCAGAATTTGAGTACCACTTTTCTCTGCAGATGCTCCCATGAGTGTTTGCATGTGCCTACGGCCCCCTAAGTGACTCTCTCCCTTGCATCTTGCATCCTCTTAACGATAATTTATTTAAAAATAGTTCTCAGCTTCTTGTTAACCAATCCAGAATAACCAATGAATTTTTTTAAAACTTAGGTTTTACGTAGTGCATAAACCTTATGTTAACACAATCAAGTCTGGACAAAGCCTCCTGCCTTCTTTGATGCCCCATGGTGGTGTCTTTGGTTATTGTTGGATTTGTCAATGTGCAATTTATATACTTTTTTGTTTAAAAGTGTCTTTAAGTACAAGAGCAGGACCCAAGTGAGGTAGAATAACTATTTTACTGACAACTGCACACATTTTTTAAAAAGTTTGTCAGGGTTTTTTACTAAATACAGCATTTTAAGGCTTGTAGAAATTAGAATATTCTCACCGGATAACTCCTTATAGAACAAGAATTGTGTCTTTTGTTTCCAACAGCGACTATTAGTTCCAAGTGTGCACCCCTGAGTGTTCTGTAAGTCTAGCCAGGTTTATCTTATTATTAATATTATTTAGATAGAGATTGGAGAGAAGAGGGGAACTCTTTATGATCCGGGAGTCCTCTCTACAGAATAATTTGATATATCTACATATGGCATGCCATTTTGAAATGCCAAAGAAGGTACTCAACACTTAAAAGCAATTGAATGACACTTTATCATTAGGTTTTCTCTTAATGAAAATTTATTCTCATAAGTATTAAAGGTTTAGAGAAAAAACAATGCTGGAAAAAAACCAATAATGTTTATTGTAAGGCAAATAGTTAATGGTGCATATAAATTTTAATTATGAAAATTCTGGGWTAAAATATTTGGTAGCTCTACTGATGGTCCATTTATTTTAAGCAAAAAATTGTTACAATAGATTTCACAAGGAATTTAGGTAAAAATAAACGTTGAGGTTTATTGTGTTGAAGTGATAACATTTAGCCAATGTTGGATTTTTGTCTTTGCCATTGGGCTGCAATGCCTTTTTAATTAAACTTGGRAAAATATGTATGTATTTCAATGGGCAAATTAAAATGTCTTTAGATATTAAGTGTGTTAATCAGTAACATTAATTGCCTAGATTTTATAACAAATCCAGACCAGTTTCCTCTTCTAGTGTACTTCTTTTGTTTCTTAATTTTAATAATGGCATAATAAGCAAACCATAATTGGTAAATATGCCAAAAAGTGTTGTTGAATTTCATTCATATTTAGTAAATTTGTTTGGTGGGGGTACTGGAGATTGAACCCAAGGGCACTTAACCAATGAACCACAGCTCTTTTCAAAATCTCCAGACAGGGTCTCAATAAGTTACTGAGGCTGACCTCGAACTTGTGATCTCCTGCCTCAGTCTCCCAAGGATCACAGGCATGTTCTACTGTTCCTGACTTTAAAGATTTTTTTAGATTAACAACATTGTCTTCCTTAGGGTGTATAATTAAGTTATAGCTGATACTATAAAAATCCATATGATTTGAGGTTACTAAAATTTTGTTAGGTTTTTATTCCCAGAGGTGAAACCTATTTATATCTATGAATCTGAAAGATTATATGAATTCTCCTAACTTGTTACCTTCTTCTAGACTCGAGGTACCTTTTTTTTAGTTGTTGATGGGCCTTTATTTATTTATTTATTTATTTATTCATTCATTCATACGTGCTGCTGAGAATTGAACACAGTGCCTCACACATGCCAGGCAAGTGCTCTACCACTGGCCACAACCCCAGACCCTTGAGATATCTTTTAACTGAATTTTAAAAATTGAGAAAGTATTTTTCTAACAGGAATTGTTGATACGAATGCCTTAGAAGTCATAAACTGTAAATAATGAGATTTTTGTCCTATAAGATTTATACAAACCATAGCACTATTAAACTGATTTTTTTAAAATCAAGATATTTTCATCCTTAATTTGTATTTTGAATTATTAAAGGAAGTTGAAAATCTGCCCTTCCCTCTCCTTTCTCCCCCTCTTAGCTAAGACTCAACTGTATTTGGTTTGGGTTATTTTAAGACATCTAAGCCATGATGCCAGATATGTTTTAATATTGCTGACTTTATTTTTAAATATTTTATTAATATATTTTTTTAATTTTTTAAAATATTTTTAATATTTTATTTTTGTTACATGAAAGCAGTGGACCCTTAAGTAAATTTGTTAATGATAGTCTCTGATTTCCTTGCAAGCATTTCTACAAAAAAAGCTAATAAAATCTTTCATTCTTAAAACTAACTGCTGAGGGTTTTATCACATTTATAAAGAGGAAGTTGGTTTGTTAATTCTTTCTTTCGATATTGGGAATTGAACTCAGTGGTTCCTTACCATCGAGCTACATCCTCAGCGCTTCTTATTTTTTATTTTGAAACAGAGTCTCCCCAAGTTGCCTAGGCTAGACTCTGACTTGGGATCCTCCTGCCTCAGCTTTCGGAGTCACTTGAGAATACAGGCCTGCACCAYTGTGCCCCACCAGAAGTTGGGTTTTTAACTTCTTCATTGTTACCTGAAATGGTCATGATGAGTTGTCTAAATAAAACAGGAAGTGGAAAATGTAATAACATGCAGAAATATATGCTTTTAGCTTTATCCTGAGTTCTTTTCTAGGTACTTAAACTCTTCAGTTACTTAGTTCTAAGTGCTTAGCAAAACCAAGATACCCTAATTAGGAAGCTTGAAATGTGGAATGAACTACTTGCTTGGGTTCTTTGCATTGTTTCCTTCATTTCACAATTCATCGTTTTTTTAAACAAATGCAAAGAGAATTTTAGGGCTGAAAAACCGTGACCCCCCCCCTTTAGCCTTACTAGTAGAATATTTGTATATAACTTCAAAAATAAATAAAATAAATTAACTGAGAAATAGATCTATATGTTTTTAGTTTAGACAATAGTTTCTCTTGTAAGCCTTTTTTTTTTTTTTTCTCTTTTGAGAAACAGATTTATCAAAATCACTAGTAGAGATGTAAAAAATGTTATAAATAGATTCAGGGATTGAGGGCTCTGATAGAGCTCATGGAAATATATTAGACTAGGTTTCCTTGATTATGTATTCCCTCCTCAGTTTACTAGAGGAGTCATTACTCTTGTACAATGAAGTAAGCCCTAAAGCTATTTGCTATGACAAGTCATCAGTTAGCATTAACACTTTCATGGGGGGGGGGTTATGGGGAGCAGTAGGTTTTTTGTAGTATTGGGGGTTGATCTAATGCATGCTAGGCAAATGCTGTACTACTGAGCTATATCCCCAGCCCTTTTAAAATTTTTTAATGATACAGGATCTCGCTAATAACCCAAACTGGCCTTGAACTTTGTTGCCTTCTATCTCAGCCTCCCTAGTAGCTGGGAGTAGTAGTCTGGGCTACCACACTCATTACAGTACTTTCATTCTTTATTTTCACTTCTTTTTAGTTAGCTTTGCTGAGTAATATTCATAGAATGTCTTACAAAATTCAGGGTCAGGAGCACAAAGCCTAAGCAGGTACAATCCTTGTTAAGAGTACAGGTTTATCATAATTTCTTATAAAGCATTAAATTATTTTATTAGAATCAGCCTTAATGCTAAACAAAGTAGTATAATTAGCCAGAAAATTAAGACCCAGGTTTGTATGATTCTGACCCATGCTTTTTTCACTACACTTTTTTTTTTTCACGTACCATGAATGAAAAACCAGAATAGAGACATCCTTTTAAGGAATTATAAGTGAGGTGTTGTGATGTAGTGGAAAGAATGTTTTAGAGTGTTAGAAGACTTGGGTTCTCCCTGGTGTGCATTTAAACAACTAGATGTGTGGGGTTTTTTTTAATATTTATTTTTTACTTTTTATTTTATTATTTTTTTTATTGGTTATTCAAAACATTACAAAGAATGCAGAATCACATCGGTTATAGATGTGTGGTTTTGGAAAAATCACTTAAATAAGTGGGCCACACGTTTCTTTCTAAGTTAGGGAAATAGGGGGAATTGAATCAAACCGCCCCAACAAAGTTTGATGAACTTTTTCAAACTCCAATAAAGAAATCTCTATTTTAAAAATTGAAACATTAAAATGTTCTAGGAGATTCTTACATTGTCTGCTTGCCTACATTTCCCTGATAACAAGACTGAGTTCCTTAGTAATTGGACCATGTCTTTTTATCTAGTGCTTAGCACAGCATCAAGAACACAGTGTAGACACAGCCTATTGATGCAAAAGAGATCACAGCTTCGTTAATTTTCATATTTCCCCAGCTCACATGCCCGTACCCCCAATAAAAYACCCCTCTTCAAATTGTTTCTGGTAATCTCTAGGTATCATTTTCAGGAATGTGTCTATACTTTGGGTG